TCCCATCTTCCCCTGTCTGCCGGTTCTCATTTCGCCACTTCTGTCAGTGCTAAAACAGAACTGACTCCATAGCAAGTGCAAGGTTAAGCTCTCTGCTACGTGGTCAGATGAAGGCCAGTACTTTCTGGTGCAAAACAGGAAGCAGGAACAGCAAATCATAAAGGAATGGCAGGACCGCAGCAGCCCTTGGTTCATACTGTCATGGAAACATTAAGTCTGCTTCACACTACTAAAAATAACACGCTATCACCTCTCCTCCACATCGAAGTTTACCACGTTATCTAGTAGTCACTCCCAAGACGTTTGGCTGCCTCATTACTCTACGTACAGAGCTTCCCATCTGATCATTTACATGACATGCACTGTAAGAGACTTGTATCTGAACTGACAAACAGATGTAATGTAGGAATTTCCTAAAAAGCTTTTAACAACAGCAATATCCTTTTTCTGGTACAGTATCACTTATTAATTTCATGATTGGAATTGAATAAGCAGCAAACAATGGACTGCACAGCATGACCATCATTTCAACAGAGAAACTATAGAAGGCAGCACTATATTCTCACTTGTGAAAGCAAAAACCTAAAACCAACACACCATGCAGGAATGAATTAGAAAGAGCTATTCAGGGAAGTCAAACCTGCATGCAGAATTTATTGTGGCTTTTGAGATGACTAAAATGAAATCTTCTCCAACATCTTTCAAATTTCCAGCTTTTGCTAGCCTTAATTGCAGAGCAACAAATTATGTCCAGCATTAACACAATACCCACTTTTTTTTAAAAGTAAGGCTAAAGCATGGTTAAAAATTCTTTAATGAGATTATTTTTCTACTTTATCATGTTTTTGGTGTGGAATTCACAGCACACAGTTCTCAGGGTAAAAATTAAGGCAGCCTCCAGTTTACTGTAAGAAGCTAAAAATAAACCATAATGAAAATTTACAACTACGCTTACAAGGCAGGTATTATGAATTTACTTTAACAAGCCCCACCTCATCACACTTGCTGAAGGCAGTTTTGGGGAAGGAAATGCTTTTCACTTATCCAACTGATAAACAAACCACTCTTCCAATACCAATGCCCCTCTCTCCTGTTCCATGAAGAAAATGTGTTGTATATAGGAATGATTAAAAGTAGAAATACTATCAAAACAACATCTCTAGTAACAGGGAGTAAACAGAAGGACAAGAAGCAAAATGAGTACCTCACTATAAAAGAAGATGCTCCGATTTGTAAAAATCACACAGTAGACAGCACATTTACTTTTCCTCATACTGTACAGCTGAATTTAAAGATATTCAAGACCGCAAAACAGTAAAACCACTATTACAGGCAAGATTCAAATGTATAAACAAAGTTAAAAAAATCTTCTACTGAAGCATTATTTCCTACCCAACACAACCTTAAAATTCCAATTTCATAGTGGCAAATAACATACACAGTCTGACAGGGAGCATCACTGACCCATATGCTCTTGTAATTGTCTTCAGAGAAGACAGAGGCAGCAACTAACTGAAACTACAGCTGCCTCAACACAGGAAGAACCAGTCAAAGAATTTGAATAATGCTGCTTCCAGACCAAATTAGAATAATTAACTAGAATCCAGAAATACGATCTTTTCCTCAAAAAGGAAACATTCATGGACTCAGAGGAAAAAGGGGTGAAAAGCATTTGCCTTTAATTTCAATTCTGTTGTATGTGCCTCATTCTCCACAAAGACAGATAGTATAAAGGTGAATTAGTAATTAAAGAGACCTGGACATCTGTAAAATGAAGGGAGTATCTAGATAAACACATTTAGCTGGAAGAGTTTATTCAATGCTTCTCAGAACATGCAGAAGTCTAACTTATTTCTAGCAGAGGAATTCAACCCTACAATCCAGGACCTCAAAGAACAGTTTCAAGCCCTTAATGATTTGCTGTGCTATACTTAATACATACATCCCCTTACACGGGTTCTGTGTTTTTCTTACATCCTGCAGTGCACAAGAGAACCACCCATCCTTACTGAACTCTTGCACATAACAAACTACTCTTAAAGCTCTCACAGTGAAGAGAGATCAATAAACAGAAAGATTCACCTCAGAAGGAGGCATAAGGACAGTACAGCTCAATGTGATCCCAAAAGTCTGCAGACTGCTTTATTCTTTCTGTTTTTCTTCGAAGAAAAACATGAAAGAAGCAATACCATAATGATGTTGCAGGTCCAGATAATGACCAGTATCTCAATGAACTATGGGAAGAGGAAAAGAATTAGTTCTATCAGAAGTACAGCCAAAGTATAAAATAGTTTCATACCAAAGAAAAGTAAATTAAATACAAAGTAATAATTTTTTAAAAAGTGTTGGCCTTTCTCCTTGGGGAGAAAAAACAGCTTATTCAGCCAGTCTGCTTCCAGTTGTCCTTTTTATTTCTAAAGATAAACTGCTTGACTATACCATCATCTTGGTAAAAATCCAAGAGCAAGCGGAAAGGGAAATTATTAATTCATATCCACGAGGAAAAAAAATAAAGTCACTAGTGATCCAGATTCATAAAGATAAGAAAAATATTTTAGTACTGAAATAATCTCTGTACATCCAAGAACCTTCAAATAGAAATCCATTTTAGAAATGTGCCTATTTGTGCAACAAAATGTAATTAGTCTTTTTAACATCTTGAGTACAAAAATAAGTGATCATTCCAAGAAATTAGTAGCTATTTCCCATCTCTTAACACTGGAATATTCATACATCTCTAAAATGTATCTCAGAAAACCAAAGCATTTTAACTCATGGCAAGAATGAGAATGAGTCTTTTCTCCAACATGGTCCCAAATTTTAATCAAGTTGGACAGAGATAAAACAGACATACATTTACATATTTGTATCAATTTAAATCCCCTGATACTTATTTGAAAAGCAGTAATACTTGCAGGTATTCTACCACGTGAAAGGGCATTTCCAATTTTCCATTCACACATTTCAGAACATCTTTGCAATCTTCCAACACCCACAGATTCACCTATGTTGCTATAATTAGCAAGGATTTCCTTTTTTCCTCATGATTATCCTAATTATTTAAAAGTTTATGGCTTCCTTCAGAGCAATTTCCAATTCGCATTTTTTAATACTCAACTGAATTTTTCAGGTTTCAAACTGCCTAAAACTGTAATTTGATTCAACAGTCATTTTTTATCCTAATTGAACAGATGCAATAGGCAGTACAAAAACCAAGTTCACCTATACACTAACTCGTAAGTATGTACTACACATGCCTGTTTCAACAAGGCCTAATTTTGAGAAATTAGAGCCAACCAACCTTTAACTCCTATGCAAGTAATAAGCACTACCCAAATCTCTTATGCCTATGCACAATATATAAAGCTGATGATGAAGTGAACTGAGAGAACGTATTTCAACTGATGCTCTATTTGGACAATAGTTAGCCCTGTGTTGTTGGTTTTTATTAAAGGGGGGAAAATTTCTGTAATCAGGATTACAGAGCTTCTCCAACTGATTAAGTTACTAAATGAGGCAGAGTATTTTCAAGACAAAGAGCTGGCTGACACTATCACAGTGAAAAACTACTAATGCATTAGATCTTTTTGGAGGCTCAAAACACACCCATCCAACATTTCCACAAGCCAAGCATAGAACAAACATACGCAGAGTGCACACTTCAGTACTTCAGACATACTGGGGGTTTGTGACCCATCAGGTGATCCTGACCCTTCAGACATTATTCAGCAATAAAAGGAAGGTAGAAGAATCAAGACACATCTGACAAAATTAATTCTGCACCACACAGAATCTTGACTTGTATGTTCTTTAAGCTATTTGCTCCATAGTAGACAGAGAATGAACGTAAGGGTTTCAAGTTTTACCCATCTAAGAATTCTTTTTCTTACTACCATTTCTAATCCTGACTATAAACTCAATACTAATGGGCTCAAGGTCTCTGATAAATTCTACTTTCCCTAGTTGTCTTCTGCTCTCAGAAATTGACAATGTGCAATGTCAAGAGTTCTAAATTACTTTTTTTCATACCTCCTGCTTAATATGATACCATTTTCTGATAATTCAAAACCTAAGTCTCTCTCCCTATCTTTAGTAGCTTTTAAAAATGTGTTCTGAATAAATCTGCTTATAGAGACAGCCTATGTCACCACAAGTTTCCTCACTGCCAGCATCTATTAGCATTCACTAAGCACCCAAAATCAGTAGGTCATTTTAACACCACCTACTACTTTCTTTCACAAGTTAATGTCAATTTCTCCTCGTAATATGGAATTTTTTTCCACAACTGAGAAGGATAAAATTTATTCTTAACATTTTACAGTGGCACAAAAGTGGTGGTAAAACTGAGCACAAGATGCAAGTTAGTGGCATGGGATGTACTATACAGCCACACTGAGTCACCTTGCTTTGAGTGAGAATACGGAGAAGACGTAAGAGAAGAGCTCTCACAGGGTAATTCTGGTGTCTGTAAAAGACTTTAAGTCATCTGGCTGGGCAGAGCGCGGTTTATATTATCAGGAAATGAGACAGCCACCCCATCTTCCAGTTTCACTATGTTTATTTTTCCCAGTACACTGACCACAAAGGTTTTTGATACTGAAGTGTTTTGTTCTTTTTGGGAAGTGTTTAATGTGATAATCTGAAAAAACATGCCTTCTTTTCTTGAAGTATCAGAATCATCTCAAAGCAAAACATAAAAGCATGTTATACTTCCCAGCCTTAAAGTGAAGCACACTAATACTGAACAGGTGCTAAGAATTTCCTGCATCTACATCTAAACCAGGCAAAAAAAGATAACGTCTTTAAAATACTATTCTGTTCTGAGGAATAATTTGCTCTGGGATAAGACATTTTAAATGTCACTACAGTATTACAAAATAACATCTAAACTTCATTGTAAGATGCTGCTCTGCAGGTTTGCTTTTACTGCTGCAGTATTAGTTGTATTTCAAAAGTAACTTCTGAAAATAGAAATCAAAGGGTTGCATACAAATACTTACTGCAGGTATCAGCAACTTTTTTACTTCTTCAACAGCCCTCTTCAGTTTTATTTCTGCTCTGTTCTGAGCATCCTCCACAGTGATAAGTACATGTAAATCTTCATTCAGGTGCTCCCAGTTGGGCTTGCCTCGGTTCTGTTCTTCCTGAAAAAAATTAGAAGATGGAAGCTATGAAGTCCTTGCATTCTTTATAAAGCAATCATATAAACAGCAGACAAGTACAGTTCTGTGAATTGTATGAACTGTATTTTCAGCAATGCTTCATACTTTGGAGACTGTTTTGTTTATACAAGCTTAGGCTTCAAAATATCTTTCTGAGGATTTTGTTTGTGTTTTGGAACATCGTACTGTAAGAAATAGCATTTGTATTGTAGTCTTACAAAAATAAAACAGAGTACCTTTCCCAGTTGAACAAAGGAACAAGAACAAGAAGTACTACAAACACAATATTACTTTCAGTATTCTTTGGAGCCTTGCAAGACTTAAACAGATAAGATATACTAGTGGTTAAGCAACCCAACCTTTTGAAGAAAAGTGAAACAGACACCGTACATAGGAACTCCATCTGAATCACTCCAAAGGACAAGAAAAGCAATTCCTCAGTGTTAAAAGCCACTTTCAAATACTCATGAAAGAAAGGAACACTACAAAAGGAACAGAGGTTGCAATTTTCAAAGCAGAGCTACATGTACTGGATGAAGGGCAGTGAAGAGGAGATGACAAGGCTTTAATACTGAAGTCACAGAAGAGCATGTGACAAAATGGTAACCATTGCACAGGTACTCCATCACACCCATGGCATTAATAAACCCAAAGATAAATCCTAGTAATGTTTTCAGACAGGGAGAGCATGCTAAGCAAAACGTTATAAATGTAAACAATTTTAAACAACAGATACCAATAAATTTAAGTAACACATTCAAGTATCCAGTCCTTAAAAATTAAGATAATTAAACACAGAATAAACTTTCCAACTCTGATTTTATGAAACAGTGAATAAAGCTAGATATATTTCCCTGAAACCTCATTTAAAATTGACAATATTTAAAATGTAATAAATCAAGTATAAAAAAAAAAAGGGAGGGTAAAAACTTTATTAAATGAGAAATACGTATTATGATTTTTGAACCTAAACAAAGGCCCACATAAATAAAATCCAGTTATTCAAAACTTTAAATGCTGGGCATAATAAAAGAACCTCCTATTTGTACAGTAAACATGTGTGGCTTAACCACAACTCACACTTGACCTTCGCTTGCCTTATTCTTTTTAATTACAAATGTGTCTTTTTCCACAAATTTCCTGAACAGTTCTCCAGGAAATCAGACATGCTGAGGAAATGTTTGAAGATTTAATGCCAACAAATGCTTGCAGTGCTTTATATTCATATATACCTGAGGGAGCACTGTGCCTTAGAATGCCTTCTCTTTAATTCAGCTAACTCTGAAATGTTTTGTGGAATAGACAAGGATAAAAATGGGGGAAAAAAGCAAAATCAGGAGAGATGCATGGAAAATTCATGTTAAGAATCAGTACTTCGAAGGAAACTTCCTTTCACTACTCATGCAACGTGCACATATGCATTACTCACTCCAAACTATCAGCTACAGTGGTGCGTTTTTTTTAAAAAAAAATGTTACTTAGCCAACTTTCTAAACAAAGGTGACTATGAAAATGGCTCTGTGAATTGCAGAAGCTGAAAGAAGAAAGAGAAACAACCCCCATTTATCAAACAGAAACATACACAAAGTGCAGCTGAGTTATAACATGTTCTCTGCTGTAATTTAATATTTGAAAGAACTATCTACCACAAGGCACTTGCATCTTATTCAATCGTGATCCAGACTCCATTACTACTATTGAAACAATTCCATTTATTATTTTTTTATTCCAAACCAGGAGTGAGATGTTTTCTTTTAAAATGGTGACAAGCTGTATTAATATGAGGCAGTACAAAGTAGTACGCTACAGGTACAATAAATGAGAGAAGGTGCCTAAACCAGCAGAGGGCAGAGCAAGAAACACGCCACTACCTCTTCATGCACTGACCCAACATAGAAATGGGAAAGGTACTGGTTACTAACACGTGATGCATGACAACCTGCACAACTACTTATCACAGGAGGGGGGGAAAAAAGTCCAAAGGCCAAGAGTGACAAATGACTAAGAAAAGTGCTCTCAAATAAAACAAGTTCTGTTCCCAAAAGACAAGGAATGCCTAAATGCAGTTTTAGCTACCATGGAATTACCAACATGCTTATATACAGTGTGGGCAAACAGAAAGGGGCCTTACGGTGCTGTATTGATTTCTTTCATAATAAAATAATATGGTGCAAAGTCTCAAAAACTTGGAAGATTTGGAGGAGTTACCACCTGTCAGCAGCAAAAAATAAAATGTACATTGTTATGGTGGATGTATGCCTGATTTTAGAACACAACCCCCCCTTTCTTTGTTACCTAAAACAAGGCAGCCTGCCTCTCTGCTTTTCACTATGTAAATGTTTCACATTAATGTTACTATCAAGGATTGCTGCTGTACTCCAAATTACTCAGCTGCAATATGAGGATTTTTTAATTTGGTTTAAAAAGAGAACAAAAAGCTGTACCTAGGACAAATAGATGACAGAGCAGATTTTTTTTTCCCTCCCTAGTTTACCTCTAGGTGGAACACGTTCTGCATAAGGTCAATAACCACAGGTATTAAGGTCACACTTCACAGCATAAACAATCATACAAACTACTGATCAGTAAGACAACTGAACTAGTGCAGGACTATGATATGCTCTTCTATGGTCATGCTGTTGAGAACAATGTTTATTAAATCAAATGGCAAGACTGAAAGAAAGGTTAAGAATGAAAGTCCACACAATGTGTTTTTAAAAATAGTCAGTAAAAAAAAAAAAAAAAGAATTTGGAATGGGCTACCAATTTCTTCTGTTCTACCTCAGTTCACTGGGGTCGTGAATTCCTCCAGGGCTTCCATTCTGTCCCACAAGGTTGCTTCCTTAGTGCGTTAATAGTTTTCTAAGAAATGAGTTTTGGTCTGTTGAAGATGCTAGCTGAATGTTATGTCAACGTATATATTTGATTCTTTATTCGTTCGTTTTCACCAAAGTTAGGAAATTCAGGTCTATACTAGCTCATTCATTCAAACAGAAAGGTGCAAAATGTGTTAGGCTCATGGGAGAAGAGATAGACTGCAATCCCTTGCAGTTAAGAGCTTCAATTTTTATGCTACCTCATTCTCCTTTTAAACCCTGAAAGGACGGTTTGGAAAAACATGTTTTCCTCCAAGTAAAATCCTTACTTAAATTAAACTAATCCTCTGTGCAGTAAGTCCTGAGAACATCTTTTTCCAACCATGTTTTATTATACAAAAGTCTGAACAGGTAAACTGAACATATCTGAAACACAAGTAAGAAGGTATTTTAACACATGAAATGTGGTCAAAGATTTTAAGGGTTGATTAGGGCTTTCTTTTGGAATTGTTTGCAGAGAAAATGGTGAAAAGGTAGGCAGGTAAGAATGACTAAAACTTGCCCTGCTGCATAACTTGGTAGAATGAAAGTACAAGATGTGGTGGTCCTGAAGTGAATTGCAGCTAAGACAAACCAGATCACTTCACAGAGCCAGAGAACGGCTGAGCATGGAAGGGACCCTGCACATGGTCCAATCCAAACCCTATGCTCACGGCAGAGTTAACTCAAGCATGTTGCTAAGGGCCAGGTGTTAAACATCTCCAAGGATGGAGACTCCACCACCTCTCCAGGCAACCTGGTCACTGTTCAACCAGTGTTCAGATGCAACAAAAAACAAACAAACAAAACAAAACAAGCAAACAAAAAACCCCACAAAAAAAAAACCAAACAAACAACACACAAAAAAAATATAACGCTTTTTCTTCGGTTTAAACTTTATTTCTTTTCTGTGTGTGTGCTCATTGTCCCTTGTCCTTCAGTAGCAACTGCTGAGCAATTCAGCCTACTTGCCAGGTTTACCTATTGAAAAAGCAGCAAGGAGTAACAGAAGTTGCCATGAGAATTATTTTGGGAAAAAAACATTTGTTGCCACAACAGGAAGGGTATGCACACAGAAGATAAAAAACAGCACCAGGAAAATCAGAAAACCTGAATAAGACCCAGGGAAAAATCAATTCAACTGCATATATTCAAAATTATATTACATACACGAGACATAATTTACAGCATGAAGTTTTCCTGCATCCCAGAGATTGTTTATGGATGAATTATACAGGAAAAATGGAGACCATGAAGATGCAGGAAACTACAGAGCAAAGTGATTTATGTCACAACCTTGAAGGACAACAATATTAGGAAAGCTTAATTACAACCAAACTATCTTGTCTGCTAAATTAAAGAACATTAAGAGCAACATAAATGGGAGATGAAATTCCACTGTGCTCCTTGTTTGGCAGAAATTTCAGTATCCTTAAACATAGTCTAATTTTGTAAACAGATTTGCTTTCACTCTGTTGCCTGTGCATATACACTCATTATCCTCAGAGTACCTACACACAATAATGGACTACTTGATATTTGTCTTGCTATTAAGGTCAATATATCAGGTAGTTTTGAAGAAAAACAAAAACACAAACTTGCTACAACTCCTCAAAATTTAATTGCACTAAAAAAAAATAACTACAAAAATTTTCTTGGGAAGGGATTTAAGGGGGAGCTGAAAAGCAGGCAAATGATGCAACTGACTTGAATCTATACAGACAAACATAAATATTAGTAAGGCTGTTCCATGAGGGGAAATACTGCAGTCCAGCTCACTGTCTGGTGGTTTCCACACATCTCACTGTACCACAGTAAATTCAAGTTGTGATCTTACACCTCCTCTATCCCATGCCTTAATGGCCATTACTATTTGCACCTTCATATTGCATTCCAAAGCTTTCTTCTTAATACCTCAACCTCTGACTTAACAAGACAGAGGACAACAGCTTACTAGCCATCTGTAAGCTACACAAAGCAGATGACTGAAAACTCACCTAGACTAAAGCACTAAGTTACGTCTCTCCTCTATCTAACCAACACATCTGTCAACTCAAAGGAAAGAAGCGTCAAGCTTGACAGAACTTGTTAAAATTATTCAAATACTGAAAGGGGAAAGTATTTTCA